AAAAAAAAAAAAAAAGAAAAAAAGAAAAGAAAAAAAAAAGGTTCTTGACACTCTTATAGCTTGGTCAGAGACTACTGGGAGATGTAACAAAATCTTTCGGGGCCCAGTTGCTCCTGTGTAACCATTGGCAATGTATTGTTCACCTGACCAGGTTTTGACCTACAGTGACTCTAGTCACTGCAGATACATAAGAAGATAAGAATTGCCATTGACTAGGATGGACCATAGGTCCATCTTGCCCAGCATCCTGTGTTATAGTGACAGAATGGATGCTGAAAGGGTATGACCATGTTTTTTTCCTGCTGTTCCTTTCTCACTTACAGCCCTCAGCATTTAATATCTAGGATGTTCAAATTCAGAAGCTGTATCCCTAACTCCCATGCTCAATAGTTACAGTGCAAGCAAATTACACAGCAAGCCTGAGGCTGGTGTGTACCAGTTTAACACCTCTGTAACATCGTTGACTTCAATGGAGTTAGGATGATATTACAGCAAAATCAGAATCAGACCTGATATTTTTATGGTTTTGAACTGCTATTAGCAAATTCTGCCTCAGCTTTTACACCCCATGCTACTCTTTTGACCTCAGTGAGGATGTAAGAGAGGACGAGAATTGGCCCATCAAATTTGCAAGAGGCTCAGTTCCGCAAGGGATTCAGCATTCTGGCCCTGATCCAGAAAAGCAGTTAAGCATGTGACCAGAAGCAGATCTTGGATTTTGAAAAAGAGGAGGTGGGGAAGAAGGGAATGTGGTGGAGGGCTCACTGGCACCAGGTGTGACTGCTTGCAATGGATGGATCGCTGTGTGTGTAGTAGAAAGTCATAGGGTGGTGTGATTGCAGCTCCCCCTGCACCCACACAAACACACCCTTTCTTCTTGGTTTATCTCTGTATGTAACTAGCCCTATTGAAGGCAATGGGATCACTCAGATGGTTAATTAAATATATGTTGACTTGCTGGGCTGGATGAAGGCTAGAGTGTTCAGCGCTTTGGCAGCATGAGCTTTAGATTTTAAGTTAATGCCAGTGTGATGATCTAAACAGATACTACATGTGGACTTTTCAGAAGGGCTGTATAGGGGTTCTGGGTTTACAGTTATAGAGAGCTAACTGCAAGTCTGTTTTAGTATCATTGCACATGTGTGTACAAAAACAGATTTCTGATGTGTTGAGTCCCTTTGAAGTGTTACATTATGCCAGAATCTGCAAATACTTCTTTTTAAAGCAAAGTATGTATTTTTGTATTCTGTAATATCTAAAGTTATATTTCAGATGTAAATTATATTTGTCCTATAGTATTTGATACAAAATATTTAAAAAACCTCCTGTTTGTATATTTTAATGTTTTTAATATACAGACATGTTTAACTGGTGCACTTTGATCCCAATGGGAAAAATTGCAGCTAAAAAAGATTGTTTGCAATTAGCAAATGTAATATATTTCTTTTGTTCTTTTTAACTTAATAGATTACTGTTAAACTTGTCAGTATTAAGAAAGCTAAAACCAAAATAATAAATAATTGGATCAGAATTTTGGTCAACAGGTTCCTGTCAAATATACAAGGTAAATGACTTTACAAAGCTGGCATTACTTAAGAATACCTACGGGGCCACATGAATCTGTCAAGAGTATTTATAGTGTACTCCACTTATATGCTTGCCAGACAAGTGCATAATTTGCTTAACTGCATAATACAATGCCAGTCCCAATGTGTTGCCTGTTGCTTATATTTGAACAAATACTGATGATCTGTATATTGGTTAAGTGCATATCTGCTTAAGTGCATAGCATCTTTCAGCCACTTTCTGTAACTTAATTGTACTCCATTTAACTGCACCAGACACAGTGAAAGGGAAACAGCTGTTAAAGCGCTGCTATTAGCAGCTTAGAAACCAACTGGATCCCATCCCATCCAAGATTTCTAATCCAAGCCCTGAAAATGACAGGAGCTAGTCAGTTTGAAGGCTGCTAATAGCCAAGTGCTGACACTGCTGTAAGCAGTGCTTGTTGGCACTTTGTCAACCTCCCAAACTGATTAATCAACCCTATCTTCAAGGCTTTTAATATAACCCTGACAGTGAGGGGAAATCATCAGTTTTGGGGTGGCTGGTACCATAACATAACCAGCCTTGTTTATGTTAAGATTAGATAAATACATATTCCAGGTAAGTACATATGGAAGTCCCAAAGCTGTGCACTTAAACAGAGTAGGCTGTACGTAATTATTGAACAGGCATTTATTTCCTGCAATAGATGCTGCAAATTGTAAATTCTGTAAAATAATTATTGTATCATAACTGTTTTTTATAAAATAAATCCTCAGAGGCTTATTTACTAAGAAACCAAGTTGAATTCACTAGCAGTTATTTTATACTGTATAATAAACTTTTTTTACAAAATACATTTCCAAGAAAACAAAAAAGAACTGTGGCTTTTTCTTGCCCCACTTCCTTTCACTTTTGTGCTTTTATAACCCTTTTGTTCACCATAGTAGAGTTTGCAGCCCACTTATAGCATATCTCATTTTCTGGAAGATACATCAATTTATTATTATTTAGAGACAGATTGTATCCGTTGGAGCTTATGTTATGGGGTGTTGATTTTGCTTGAAAATTCTGGAATTCTCCATAAAAATAATCAAAATATAAACTTTAAAGGGAAAAGAGATTAAATGGTTCAAATCTGCTTTTGCTTACACTGAAATAATGCAAAACCGCTCATCTATTTGGAATGGATATCGACAACAAAATCAAGTCAGGATAAATACCAACTAAAGTAGCAAATCTTAAGTGTTTTTAGGGCAAAGGGGATGAAACTCGCATTTTATCTTAGTCTAAGACACCCTGTGGATGAATATTAGAAATGTTAGAATGAAATGCTAATGCTCAAAACATTGGCAGTAGTAGGGTTATTATCTCTACCAACTTGAAAACAACAATACCATCTCTTCTTGAGAGGGTGGGTAGTAAACCCTCACAGTCCAAAATCTACCATGGTTTTATGGAGAAGTACAGAAAATATATGGTCATTACATGAAGATCAGCTTATATTCTTCAGTGTAAGAGCAGAACACTTGGATTCCTCTGTCCAGCTAGGCCTACCCCACTTTTAGGTTTGCACATGCTTTTGCTGACTCATTTGCTTTCTTCCAGTACTCAGCCTATTGGAGTTATCATCTTTCCTTATTGCACACTCAAATAATATTAATTTGGTTGGACAGGTATGCAGCTATCAGTTTTTAAAGACAGTATCCTGAACTCAAGGCTGTTTAGCACCTCTGCTTTCTATCATTTTCCTTCCACAAGTTTTGATGCGACTGATAATATCTTTTATATCATCCTGAATATAACAGCTAAGAACTAGTCCCCATGTCTCCTTTATTTTCTGTTAGTAGGTAAGAGGGTTTTCCCCCCTCTCCTTTGTTATAGTTAAAAATGAAGTTCCCTGCAATATTGTGATTAGTTTTTTGTTGAATTAACCAATCCTTTTACAAAATTGGCATTGAGGAAAATCATAAGAATGACAATTTATGGGGAAATTGAGAAGCTGAATGCATAAAATTAGGATTGTCAACAATATATTGATAGATCAGACCATTCTTTCTTTGCAAATGAGATTGGAGTAAGGCCTCTAGCCTGATATTTCCTGTTGTAAGAGAAGAGGAAGCTCAGAGTTATAGGTCACCAGCCATCTTAATGCTCATTTCTCCCCCATTCTGGTCTAAGCTTATAAATTTTATATTTATTATCAGTCATATTTCCAAAGTGGTGGAAAGCTTCCATAGCTTGGATTCTTTGAATAGTCTTTTTAGTTTCCTTTGTAATTCCATTTCTTGTTAGATCAAACCAGACTTTTTACTCAGATGGCTACAGTGGTGTCAACCTGTAACACTGTTAAATCTGCATGAAACCTCATTTGCCTTTAATGCCTCTTTCCGGAGTTACATATATACAGTGATATATATTGATGTGCCTTTCTTTGTACTTGATGCAAACTTCAGCAAGTCAATGGTAGCTGGATAAAAATAGATTGCATCCTTCTGACTTCAAATGAATGTCACTAGCTTTTAGCAAGAAGCAAGGTTTATTTGAGAGTTCCTTTTATTGGACCAACTGCATGGTGGGGAGTGATGTTAAGCAAGCTTTCAGGCTCAAAGTATTTCCTCAGTTCTAGGAAAGAAGCAGATACAGCCAAATGTACAATATAAAGCTAAATTCGAGATACCTGGTGTTTAGGTTTTACCTAGCATTTAGCTTAGGCACTTTGAGCCTGAAAGCTTGTCTAACATCTCTCCCAACTATGCAGTTGGTCCAATAAAATAAATCATTGAACAAATCTTCTTGTTTATTGTATGTTTCCTGGATCATCATGTTATACCATCGCTGCCCATACTGCTGACTTTCAGATAGTTCTCAAACTTAGGGGTGGCCAACCTGTGGCACAAGTGGCATTGGCAGCTTCTGCATGTGACACATGATAGATCAAAGAGGGGACAGGCAGCAGAGCAGTAGGTTGAACAGGAAGCAAAAGGCAAAGCAGCAGTTTGGGCAGGGAACAGAAAACTGAGCAGGAGATTGGGGAGGGAGCACAGACTACAGAGCAAAAGCAGAGAAGCCGATTGGGCAGAGGAAAGGGATCAGAGCCATGCTAAATAAGCGTGTGGGACTAATTTGTGGCATACCTGCCAAAAAGGCTGGTACCCACTACTCGTATTGAGCACCTACACAGGTGCTAAACACCTGCTCTGATGCACGCAAATTAGCATGCATCGGAGCAGACTCAATTGAGTCTATTAGCATGCTCCAGCAGCATTGGTGTCTCATGTATGCAGCATTCCTGCTCTTCAAAATGGTGGTGGGGGCTCTTTACAGCTTGTTGAATGAGCTTTAGGTGAAGCGC